CATACAGAAATTAAAATATTAAACTAATAAGATTTAAGAAATAATACTGCAAAAAAACCATCAGTACCCTTTTCAAAGTGACTAGGTAGTTTTGATTATCTGTCAAATCCTGAATAATCCAAAAATCAATTCTATTTTCTGAGCATGAATTTCACTTATGCATTTATAAGTTTATATATGTATGTATATATGATTTTATAAGTTTATATCAGTTATACTAAAATAAATAAAATTAATTCCTTAATGCACCAGCAAACCAGAAATTTTATGTAAAAAAAAAAAAATCTGTAAACTTTTATAATCCATAAAATAAATACCCTGGCAATGAACAGTGTATATCTCGTGTGTATGTGGGGGGTGGGGGGGTGTATATATCCATTTTTCTTGTAAGTCTCATAAAAAATACCAGACAGAATTTTAGTAAGACAAGCCAAAGTTTATGCATATAAGCAATATTTAAAAACTACAAAGGATCAATATCTTTTCTCTTTTTGGTTATAATTAACTTTCATTTTCATAAATAAAATTGGGTTAATTTGGTCAACAACAATTGTTTTGGGGACTGTTAAATTTATATGTAACTCCTAATCTCTAACTTACTATAAATAAAAAACTAGTCCTGTTATCTTGAAAATGTTTCCATTAGTACTTAATCAGCATTTTTAAGATTATAAATAATGCATATTTATGAATTTAGCACTAATTAAATACAATCTGATGTCTAGGACTCCATGAAATACAGTAATTATCATGCCATCCCTCAAAAGCAGCACATACATACTTTCTAAAGAAAATCAAATTTGCTAATCAAGTTTATCTTCAGAGTTAAACTGATAATCTAGATAAAAAGCAGCATTCTTTTTGAAAATGAATATTAAAGATTAAAGACCAAACCTTATTTTCTATCCCTAAAATATCACTCCAGATTTTGAATATGAGTTATACTATGTTGATTCTTCTAATCCATGGGAAATTAACTAAGTTTTCCCTTGAACACTAAATTATATTCATCTGGAATCTGAATAATACCTATTCTCTAAAATGCAGATCATAACACAAACTCAGATAATATGTCAAAGACAAGGCAAATCCACCCTTAAATTAAAAGAAAAAGACTACCAATAGCATTTTAAAAGGCCTTAAGTAGAGACAAATATTACTACCATACTTGTGACTCAAATGTGTTTCATACTAATAACAGTCTGAAAAAGCTTAAGACAAAAGACAAACTGTTTTAGCAAAACAAGAGTTCTCTTTTTTGCGAAGTATAAGAGGACTCAAAATTTCTCATTTGTACAGTAAAGGAAAATTTTAAAACAAAAGTAATGAGAAAGTATTTACAGTGGCATTATTTTATTTCTCAAAACTCTTAAGAATTAATGGAAGGTAGAGAGACTGTATAGAATCCTGTTTTTTCAACATTTCTTTATGCCACACTATGGGATTCTCAACTTACAGCAAAAAAACACTGCAGTAATTGGCATGACCAGGGTAAGGTTAGCTCATACTTTGTACTCAATAATGTTTACAGCAAGAACTTCTTCCACTTTGAAAACTCTGCCTAAAAAGGAATTCTCTTTGAAGACTGAAGGAATTTAATTAAAGATAAAGCCACTTGGGTGGCCACATAACACATCAAACAGATCATACTTCAAGCAGAATTATTACTATTCAGTTATAAATGCATGACTCATAGGAATATAAATGAAGACTCTTTTTTTTTGTACCTCTACTTGGATACAGAAATTTACATTTAGAAATGTAATAACACATTTGTTCAGTTTATAAATTTTGGTTCAAATTTAACTTCATGTGGTTAAACAGTGATTAATGATCTACTACTAAAAAAATGTTAAAATTTACTTAAAACAACATGTTTGAGAATCCCTGGTCTCACAGGACTGGAAACAAACATCAATATTAAAACAAATCAATAAAAATGTAACTAAAGCTTTAAAAATATTAACAAAGCCTCAATATTATAAATTCATTTTCTTCCAATTCTGCAATAGAAAGTTTTAACATTTACATAGAAAGAATGTTTCTAATAAAATTATCAAGTATTAAAATTTTTCATTATAAACTGCAGATTTTCATTGCACACTATCTATAAGCAATGCAATGCTACCATTTTTATTTACATTTGCTGGTGATTTATCCCCCGGAAAAGAAGAAACTGTTCAGAGAAATGTCTCTTCAGGACATTTAAAAAAAAAAAATCTTTTGAAATGATACTCCTTCCTTGACTTTTTAAATTGAATACCCTAAAAATAATCTAAGATTTCACCATAACTCAGAGTCATCATCATGTACCATGCTACTACCATAGCCTGTAATGCAGTGAGGACTTTAAGAGGTAGAAGACAGATGTTTTAGAGACAATAAATTGGCTATTGATTCCCTATCATGCATGCATTTGACCCAGTTATGACTGAAGCTTTTTTATCATGATAACTTCTACTATTTTTTCCCTTTACTCCTTTATCTATCCTGTTTGTATTTAATTTAAAGATTTTACTGTGCCTTGCAGTTTATAACCTTGAAAACCTTATCAGTTGAGTCCTAAACACAGATTAAAATCTGAAGGGGTTTCTGCCTCCTTCAAAATACTGATACTGTACATGCAAATGTTTCAGGAACCAAAGAGATAACTAAATGAACAGGAAACATGGAAACAAAAATTACCTATGACAAAGTTTTATGTGTCATGTTAATGCAGTGAAAGATGTAACAGGCATTAATAGGAGGACATCATAAAACAATCTGAATAAGGAAATAAAGAAGGTTTTACACACCACTTTCTAGCCTTTTTTTTTTTGAACACAGAAAAGCCACCAGTGAATTGATTACATTGTAAAGAGAATGACTGAGAGAATGATCACATCTGTAAGTTAAATATAAACAGGATAGATAAATGAGTAAAGAAAACAAATAGTTGAAGTTATGTTTAAAAGCATCAGTCATAACTGGGTGAAACACGTGGATAATGCCAACAGCCATGCATTAGGGAAGTCACTGGACCTTTTTGCAGACAATTGTGATAAGATCAATGAGATCCTAGATGAAAAAGCAAGTACTCAAAACAGTGCAGCAAACAATAATAGCATATTATTGCCGACAATATCCATACACTGTATGAAACAGAACCAAGACATAGTTTCTTCACCCTCCAGAGGACAAAAAGGTGAAGAAATATTAATAACCTATTGGTATTTATTGAGCACCCACTGTGTGATCTTCAGCATGTTAAGTATGAAATGCATTCCTTTCCCTCATGTAGCTTACAAGTTAAAGAAATAAAAGAGATCACAGAAGTGAAAAAAAATTAATACAAGTTAAAGCAAATTTTATTTTAGTGCTAAATATCAGATGGTGAACAAAGATGTAATGGGAGTAGTACTCATATTACAGGGCACCCCAAATGTAAACACTAGATGAGCATACCTCAACATCGTGGAAAGTATATTGCTGATGTTATTTGCTAGAGCCTTAAGCACACCCAAATCCACACCCACACCCCCACCCCCACACCCAGACCCCTAGACCCAGGAAGTCGTCTTTTAAAATCTATGAAAGAAGAAAGTTAAAGATTTATGTAAAAGTCTATTCTCTGAAGCGAAATTCATTATTACAAAACATTACAAACATCTGCCAATAGGAAAAAATTTAAGCATAATTATACGCTGTAAGATTAAACAGTCAAAATATTTTTCCAAAGACGGAATGTTTTATGAGGTAATGTTAAGGGAAAATACATGACCTCAGGTTTAGGAAATATATGCAAATACGCACAGAAAACTAAAAATTTCAAATTATCTGTATCTTATATTCATGACTTTTTTCCAAATCATTTTCTAGTAAATAAAATTATTTAACAAAATAAGCATTTGTTATAAAATAATTTGTTATTTGAACAGGCGCGTCATAAAATAAAAATGTAACGTAAAATCTCGATAATGATAGACTTCACCCGAATTAACAAATTTCACTAAAAACTATTCCAAAGGACTAAGAGAAATATTATCTAGATTAAAACTATGAGGAAATGATGGCGAGCCTGACGCTGATTTAAAAAGTACATGCGAAGTGGAGTAGAAACAAAGATAAAAGATACAAGAGATCTTGGAGATAACGCAAATATATTCCATTTCCTGATTCATTCATTATTTCTATTTTCCCAGTTTTAAAAAAAACTGGCTTTTATTATAGTCATATAATTTGGCAATTTCTGTACTTGTAGCGTTAGCAAGTTAGGTCACTTTTATTAACACGATGCATCTGATTCCCCTAACAACCTCTTAATACACAGACGGTATTATAAAACTATTTACTGAAGTAAACATTCCCGATCCGAGTGGTTTTGACTTGCCCAAGGCGGAATTGGAAACAGCAGAAACCACTTTTAATCTAACCTCTTTCTCAAGGAACCCACATTCCAGAACACCAGGTTTTTCTCCAGTATTGATTTTTAGAGCCTCCTTTCCCCAGTAAAACAGGCGGACTTGTCTGCAGCATTAGTAACTATCTCGCTTAGATTTTGTTGCAAACAAACCTGCCCCATCCCGTCAGTATTTTAAAACAACATTCCGACTGACCGATCTCAGCGGAAGTTTTTTCCCAAAGACTGGTTAACGAAAAGACCTAGGAAGCTAGCATCTGCAAAACCTCGCCAGCCGACCAAAGTCTGGGGACTAGGAAAAGGAATATACTTCCCACAGTTTCTGGTTTTGTTTTGTTTTTGTTTTTCCTTTTAAAACCCCCTGACCGCCGACCGGAGGGGAAGGAAGGAGCAGATCTGCGCCGGGCAGAGCGAGCTGGGAACCAGGACAGGGGAATTATCACGGCCAAGAAAACAGAACAAGTACGTCCATGCAGTGCGTCTCTCTAGGATGTAAAGCCAGCCTCTTCCTTTCCAGCGGTTTCTTCAATAACCAGCACATAATCTCGCATTTCTCGCCACTAAAGCACTACACGTCTCAGACTTTCCTGCAACAACGTACCCCTTCCGCACACCGACAAGTGACACAAAGTTGGAAGCACCTTTCCCATGAATTCCCTACAGCCCCATCCACCCCAACTAATCCTGAAGGTCGAAACAACGGCTGCTGAAATAAAGTGTGAAATACATAAATAAAATCAGGGTCCCATCTAAAAGAGACGGCTCCGCCTCACAGCTCCCACAAAACAGCCGTCAGCACAACCGCACCCGGCGAGGCGGGGCCGCCCAGGAGAGGGGCGGGCCCAGGAGGACCACGTGTTCTACCTTCTGCGCACGCGCCGGCCAAAACAAAAGGGAGGCCTGCCAAGCCCCTCCCCTGCCCCCACGTGACCGCACCTAGGTCCGCCCTCACCCCTCCCTCCATCCCTTCCCTCCCCTCCCCTCAGCTTCTGCCAAAGCTGTTAGGTTTAGCCGTTTAAATTTGGCTGCCGTCCGACCCCTGCTCCTGAGCGCGATCCTGTGCCGGGACCCAGAGTCTTAACAGCTCAGAGGATTCGGGGGCCGAGGGGGCTGCCGGTCGCTCGCCTACCCCGCAAGTCCACCCAGCGGTCTTCTCCGCTCTCCCCTCCCCGCGCTGCCACCGTCCTCGGCAGAGGAGACCCACCCCCCTCAGCCCGCCGCTGAGACGCCGGCCACTCGCCTGCTGGGGCGCCCTGGCTCCCCTCCGCCGCCGCACCTTCGGTCCGGCCGTGGTGGGGGCTGCTGAGGTGATCTCTAGCTGCCCTCCCGCCTCCCCCCTCCCGGGGCGCCGCTGACTCGTCTCCAGAGCGCGCCCCGCTCCCGCCCCGACCGCTGCCGCCGCGGTTTAACAGTCCGCCCGCTGCCCGCAGCTCCGGGCGGCTCGGGGGACGGAACCCTGCTGTGGTGGAGGGCCAGTAGGCGGGGCGCGGCGCCGACCAATGGCAGCAGGGGAGGGACTGCGCCATGCAAATGAGCGCGGGTGGCGGGGAAACCCCGGCAGGGGGCGGAGCCTGCAGAAGCGGCGCGGAGCGTTCTGGAAGTGGCTAGGGCGCGACGCCCGAATCCTGCTGCGGAGGCGCGGCCGCTCCCTCGGGGCGGGTTCTGCGCCTCTCCCGCTTCCTCCTTCCCCCTTCCCGGTGCCAGCCAGGAAAAACACTCACACACAACAAAAACACAGCCAGGCGACTTCCCGCCCCTGCTCTGCTATTTCTGTACCACGGTGACAGGAAAAACAAAGCGCTGGGGAAAGTCAGGCTGCTTTACACCCCGCCGCCTGCGCCATCCGCCCCTCAGCCCGAGGGGCAAGTTTTAACAAAGCTTCGCGCAGTTGCCGAGCTTCGCGTCTCTGTGCGTTTACTTTTATTTGTGCTGCGCTTTTAAATCCAAATTTAACATTCTGTCCAGCCCCCTGAGGGCCCTGGTTGACAAAGATGCCTCGGGTCCAGCTTGGTCGTCTTCTAGCACAAGCAATTTTAAATGTGTACAGAGCTGGTTTGCGTGGCACTAGCGTTAACTCTGTTCTGCGGTAGCGCAGTCAAGTAACTAAACGGAGTTTTATATGGAGATAATTGGCCACGAACACAGAAAAACATCTCCGAGCGTTTTGCACCTGGCCCAGGGGCTCCACTCACCACCAAACCTCACCCGGGCATTTCCCCAGCCAAGTACTCAAAAAAAAAAATTTTTTTTTAACTGAGAACTAAATATAGCTCTTCAGAAGATAGATTACAGGCTTTCCTCAGCACCTAATTTACTCATGGGCTGACTTAGTGGGTGAAGCGTCCTCAAATTTCAGATCCAGAAATTGCCATTATTTCAACCTGGTTGGTTAGCTACTATCGTGAAGGAAGGGGAGGGGGAACCCTAGGAATTATTAGTTATTTATAAGAGAGTACTTTTTAAAGTTGACTCAGAACAATAATAGTTACACTTCAGTATGGGGTAAGGGAAGAGTTTCTGGAAGTTAATTTACTTTTACTGGAGAATTTAGTGGGTACTTAGCCATATTCAAGTGTTGTCTTAGTCCCTGGGAGTGGAAATGCAAAAAAACAGTAAGGCGTTAACAATGTTGTTTTTTTTTTTTTTTTTGTAATTAAGCCTGAGAAATAAAATAAGGCTGTGTTAAGATAGTTCAAAGGAAGGTTTTTTAGATGGCGTTTTTCAAAGACTTTAGGCAGAAAAGGAAGGAGAAAGGCATCTATAGTTCAGGAGATACTATCGTTAAATTTAAATAAAGGTTTGGTGTTATCATATTATTGGGCTCTTAGTGCCAGTCATTACTGGGAATACTAGATTGAGTGAATCTTGAGTAACAGGAATTTAGGTTTTAAATTGGAAAAACTGTGGTACCATCAAATCGAGGATACAGGTTTCAAGTGAAATTATTATCAATTACCAAAGTAAAATAATCATACATTTACCAAATGTTTACTGAACATGTGTTTTATGATGTATACATTAGAGATGGAGCAGTAAACAAAGTTCCTGCCCTCATGGAATTTGTAGTAGATGATTACAGACATTAAGTTTTATAATTACGTAAGTGATAATTCACAAGGCTTTTTTACATACATAATCTAACTTGCTTATCTGGCAACCCTGGGAGGTTGACTGTTCCTAATACTCTAGGTTAATTCTTTTATCTTCTAGTCAGTCCTGAAATCTGCCAAATTTGCAGACCTTAAGTAAATATTCCAGTCTATCAAGTCTTACACAAACAAAATTTTCTTAATTATATATTCAGTCTGATACATTAAAGTAACAAGATGAGTAAGAAGTAATTAATAACACATTTGATGTGAAAAATGTAGAAAACCACAAAGAAAGTCACAGTAACCCATAAGGCCTTTTGTATTTTATGAAGTAACACTATATCTACTAGGTTTTTAAAATCCCATTTAGTCACTTATTAAGCCCATTTTTCCTTGACACTGAATATGATTCTAAAGCATGATATTCCTACTTGTAGCACATGCCTTTCAGTTTTCCAGAAACTGTAGAATACTTAGGACATCTTAATACAGTAACTGACATAATGAGCCATTTGTCAAATTGCTTTCTATATTACTTGTTTAGTAAAAGCCTGAAAAATTTATGTGGTTATGTAAAATTAAGAATTTATTTTTTCAGAACATACATTCTGATTTCCACAAATAAATATATAGCAATGACTAAAAGAATTTTAAAAACCAACAAGAATAAGGAGAAAGGAAGGACACCATTCTTGCTGACATAATTATTACCTGTCTTGAATCATGTGAAAGTGCCCAGGTAAGCAGTATTACAATGATTTCATGAGCTAAACTTCACCTCAACCCTGGGTTTTATATAGTCCCTCCTTTCTTTCAAGAAACATGTGTGCAGCACTTAATATACCGCTGACATTGTGATAAATTCTGGTGATACAAGAGAAAGATCAATCCCTACTCTCCAGCAGCAAGCAGCCAGAGAGGAATTACTAGCACAGTCTTTTCTACCCTTCTTCTTGTTCTTCTTCTCTATCTTTCTTATAACATGGATTTTTTATTCTGTTGTGTTGCAGTCTTGTTTTTATAAACTAGAATATAAGCTCCATGAGGTAGGCACCTTTGCATTTTTTCCCCATTGCTGTATTCCAGGAGTCTAGGACAGGACTTGGCACATGTAGGTTTCGACATATATTTGCTGAATAAATGCATACCTTAAATTCTCACATTCTACAAATTGCTATATTCCTTTTCCAGGTTGAAAAAAAAAACAAAAACAAAACTCGGGCCCTCCCTGGTGGCACAAGAGGTTAAAGCACAGCACTAAGAATTTAAAGCCACTTCAGTATGAGTTCAATCCCCATCCCAGGGGTGATCCACATGGCACAGCAGACCTCTCCTGACTGGCCCTCTGGTCCCCTCAGCAATGTGCTTCGTCAATTGGCCTATTCTGCTCCCCACTCTGTCTCTGATGAATTCTCTCACTGCCCCTGTACGTCTGGCCTGTACCCCAGTTCTGTATGCATATATAAATAAATCTTAAAAAAAAAAACAAAACTCCATGAGGTTAAATAATATGTCCAGATTCTTATACTAATAAATGGTCAATCTTTTATCTGATGATCTGCCTAACTCCAAAACCAGAGTTCTTTCCCCACTTCTTCTACAGAAAACTACTATAGCTTGAAAGCCTGTACTATTGATTCCTCTATACTTCTATGTTCAGAGCAACTGGTTTCCACTGTCATATTGTAGTATATTTAACACTTTTTTTTTATGATCAAGTTTAGAAAGTGAAATAGGAGAAGCAGCAGGAATAAAGGTGATTAGTACTATTTAGGACAGCTTCAGTTGTAACTAGCCAGTATCACCACACAAGCAGACCAAGGCAGACAGGTAGCAAGAGTTATAGGATTCTTAGACCAGGGTAGGAAACAAGAATCATCGAAACTGGTCCAAGACTGTGGGGAAATAAAATAATGACACCCTCTGTATACAAATATCCATGACAAATTTATTCACAATTGCCCCAACCTAGAGACTACCTGATGATTCATCACCTGGTGAAAAAAAATAAACAAATTATAGTGCATCCATATAATAGAATGTTAATCAGCAACATAAAAGAAAAACTATTGATACATACAACAATATAGTGATTCTCAAGCAGTATGCTGAGTGAAAAAAGCCAGATACAAAAGAGAGTAAATATTGTAGGATTTCATTTATATAAGCCTCTAAAAAAGACAAATTTAACCTATAATGATAGAAAGCAGATCTGCAGTTTCTTAGACCTGGGATGGGGCAAATTGATTGGGATGGGAATACAGGAGTTATAGAAATATTCATTTTTTTAAATAATAATCATCCTGATTATTCATTTAAAAAAAGATTTATTAATTTATGCATACAAGAGCTGGGGTGTAGGCCAGAAGTGCCGGCGGTGAGAGGACAGAGATGAGGGGGACACAACAGGTAGATGTACTGAAATACACTGCAGAGGGGAGCAGCAGGTGAGCCAGGAGAGGTCTGCTGCGCCATGCAGTTCAGCTCCCTGGCCCAGGATCAAACCCACACTGCAGTGGCTGCAGATAGTTTGATAGCACTGAGACTTTAACCCCTGTACTGCTAGGGAGGCTCCCATAAAAATATTCTTTATTTTGATGATACTAGAAATTAAATGAGTAGATGCATCTGTCAAGACTCATTAAAACATGTAATTAAAATTTATGCAAATTATTATGTGAGAATTATA